CTGTTAACCTTATTCTACCGGAGAAAGATGGGGCCTGGGGGTGGGGTGGGGGGAGGTGTGAGTGCTTGGCGTCCAGTTACCTGTTTCATCTTGTTCTATTCAGAAAAGGATTTTCTACTTTGTTTTGCTGTGAACACTCCCCAGGCCTCTGGCTACCTAGGTTTTCTGCTGAGATAAGCCCCCCCCAGTTGCTGCTCTAGGGATCTAGGCCCCCCACTCCTCACCGAGCAAAGTCTGGGGCTCCTTCCACCTCAGATTCACTCCACACTCCATCTGACAGGAAAAACACAGGGTTTTCCCGGTGTTTCTAAGTGGCATGTGTGACAGATGTTCTTCTACTGCAGTCGGCACTGCTGAGAGCCTTATGAGGGCATCCAGATGGTGGCAGACAGTGACACTGGTCACTAAGGACAAGGAGAGGACCCGCTGGAGAGCAGGGAACTAATAACAAGCCAACTGAGGGGCTGTGGTGGTTCTGCCTGGAAGGGCGAAGCAGCTGTCCAGTTCCTCTTTCATTCAACACAGCTTTCTCTGGTTTCTTCTGTGCACCAGGCACTGGTCTCCGTAGTGGAGATAAGGTGGCCGTCCAGAAAGACATGCTCCTGCCCTCAAGGACAGTCTCTGTCTCTTGAGAGAGGCATGCTTCAAACGACTGATGTATTCATCTGCCCTTGAATAGTAGTGGCCCCAAAGAACCAGAGGCTCTTGGGGCACAGCGCTAGGGACGAGCCCCGGTCCTAGTGATCAAGCGAAGGCTGCCCGTGCATATAACATTTAGGCTAAGAGCAAAAGAGCAGGAGTTAGCCATGGGGTAGGGACTTCAGCAAAGGGAACAGCCTGCCCTATGGCCCTGCAGCAGGTGGGAACAATCCAGAAGGGCAATGGGATGGGGGGCGGGGGGCGGTAACTGGAAGCGGCTGGAGCAGTAGGGAGGATGGACCAGACTGTGCGCGTGGGCCCAGCCAGAAGGCCCTTGCAGGAGTGCAGGCAGGGGACAGGTGAGTAAGGACTGGAGTGATGGTAGTGCCCAGACACATTCACGGTGAAGTGGACTCGGCCTGTGGGTGATAAAGCAGCGGGGGCCAAAGACGACATGGGGAAGGTGGACTGAGCTCCTTCCCTGGGCAGGCCGTGCACTGCCTCGTGAGGGATGGGTATGGGCGGTTAGACCCAGCACCCAGATAAGGATTCTCGGCATTCTGGTTGCGTCAGCTGGGCAGTTTACAAGGCAACAAACGGTGAGAAAGAAGCAGAATTCTGAGGAAGGTAATTTTCGGATGTTGTATCTGTGAGGCCCGTTGAGGCCTCCCAGCAGAAACGGAGAGCAGAGACTCGATTATACAGATCAGAAATTCAGGAGGGAGGGCCCATCGGGTGACCAAACGCAGGTGACACAGGAGTCAGGAGAGCGGTTGGAGCCAAGAGAGGGAGTACCCTCCCCCATGTCACACAGAGCTCATGACAACTGAGTTCACTTCTCAGTGGAACCTAGAGAAACACAATGGAGATGTCGGTGACGGATTATTATCTAAAACACCGGCATGTTTACTCTCTACAGAAAATGGCTCTGCCTTGGTCTCGCTGGCCCTCACTAGGATTACAGGAAGGTAAATGATGCAAGTCCAGATGGTGATTCAGGGACTGGGTCTCCGTGACAGCACCAAGTCAGGCTTTCTGCAAGGCCTTTCCCTTGGCAAGTCCAAAATCTACAGACGCTGCCTGGAAAACAGTGGAAAGAGCTTTCAAGTCTGTGCATTAAATGCATATGTATCATGTACGGCCTCTGTCTGTTGGCGTCAAAGAACCCTGAACTATCAAAGTAACTTAGTCAGAAATCAACACTAGAGTGATGAAAATCTATTTTTTGGGGTTATCCAAACATCGAACAAGTTCACTGAGTTCCTGTGTCCTCCAAAGCCCATGACACCAGTGACACAGATTATGCTACCTGCAGATAATCTGTGTTTGGCTACGTTTCCCCTGATAAGATGCAAAGGAGGGGAAATTGCGTTGGCCTCTGAATCCTGCTCCCAAACCAGAGAATTTCAAGAATTGCAAATCGGCTGGTTACATAGTAGGGCCAAGTTCATTGTAGTAGAGGCCTCTGGACTCTGTCTCCTTTTCTCTACAAATCCATACTGCCTAGGAGACAACTTTGATCCTGACTTTCACTGCCTGTCATGATAACTTGAAAAAAACATGAGGGGGCAGAACTTTGTTTTCAAAGGAAAGGCAGTGTTTACACCCAGGAGATCCTTCCTTCCAGGTTTCTGAGGTGTCTTGACTTCACTGGAGGCTAAGAACCCGCACAGTCCCCCACAGGGGCGCCTGTGCGGATGTGTAGGTGGTATTCCGAACAGCCCCAGGGATGCTGTTCTCATAGACTGGGGTTTGCAGTGTGCAACCTGCCCGGCCCTGGACAGAGACCCCACTGCCCCCCCCACCCCAGCCTCCACCCCCACCACAGACCATTTGAAGCTGCATCTGTACCCCCAGGAGGCAGAAAACCAAGGCAAGGGGAAGTAGAGGTAATGAAATGAGTGAGAGGACATCCATCAGTTCTTTTGTTGAAACCGTAGTTAATGATTAACAGATTATCGCTGCTTTAATTTATTAACCTTTTTTCTGCCGTGAGAAGGAAAATATGAGTTATCTTTAGAGAAGCTTCTTTTGTCAACAGTGGCTGCTGTTTCAAGGCTGAAAAGAAGTAGGAGAAATTGGACAAAGGCATTCTTTCTTTTTCTACAGAAAAGCAATATATTGCTTATTTTAGAAAGAAAACTAACGCAAAATAAATTTATTTATGAAAGCTCCTGCTAATAAGTCTCAAAGCACATATCTGCAAATGGTTTCCTATCATAGATCTTTTACAGCCTTCGTTTGAATGTATTTGTTCAAGGTTTACATATTAGAATTCTTGTAGCAGATGATGTCATGAGAAAACGATAAACCTGACTAGCACAGCGGGCCGAGATATTGACATTTGTTTGGGATTTTGTTCACCTCAGATTATGAAGTCTTCTCTCAGAAAATCCAAAATGACTTTATCCAAATTTTGAAGTTTCCTTTCAGAAACGCACACACTCACACACACACACACACACACATACACACACACCCCTGCGTGAACATTGAATAATTCCAAAGTGGGAAGAAAGGCTCCTTTTGCTCATCATTTTATTTACAGGATTTGTGTTCTGCACAGGGGAGAAAAGAAAGTTCTTTTTGCTTTCGAGATGGACATAGATTTCCAAGCCATTTGGCTCAAAAGATAGTTTAAATAGGAATGAATTTAATATACCTTTAATTCTCCGAAATAAGAGAACTCCAGCTGAGGTCTGGTCCAGGGCAAAGTCTGTTCTCGACACTGAAGAAAATCTATCACATTAATCCCAGAGGCTCAGAGTCCAAAGCTGCGTGAACAGAATGCTCGAGGGTAGGTTCTCACACAGCAGAACGCTTTGAAAGAAATTTTAAAAACAAAACGACTGTTTGGAGAATACCAGGCCTTGTGTGGAATCATGCAGCACTTAAGAAAAGATAGAAATAATTATGCTTGAGAAACACAGCTAATTAAAAATAACTCCGTGCATACAAGGAAAGGAAAACTGTAGAATAACTTCTCTGCTCCAGTGTAAATGTGAGATGCCACATAATGAAATAGTAGGATTTTTTAAATTTCGTTTCACACTGGCATAAAAGAGATGGAGAGGAAAATTATATTGCCAGAAAATGCCAGGGTAGATTTGCTAAAGACATTATCATGTACTGTGTTTAAAACAAAAATCTAATTGCTGTCATTTATCATACCTCTTGTTATTAAAACCGTGCTAATTTAAAGATTTTAATTATTTGCCACGTTTGCATATTGTGACTTTTCGTCGAAGATACTACAAAAATTTCTGATTCTATCATTCTTTGTATGATTTTTTTTTTAGGAGGTCCTAAGAAAATTAACATGCTTTAAATATATAATTGTGTTTACATCAGTAATAAAAATGCCTTGTTTTTCTTTTAGTTTGTTCAGTGAAATTTCTGGAACTGCTTTATAATCTCTGAGCTTCATATGTGAGCACACAGGCTGCTGAAATCAATTTTAATTCCCTGTACACACATCTAGCCTTATAAAGAGCAGGGTGGACGCCACCCTCCCTTTTGAATTAGAGAGAGGATTCTTCTAATGATCTGAGAAGTTTCAAAGGAAAGATTCTACTGATTTGGCCATGAATTCGTTGCTTGGTCTTGAGAAATCAGACTCATAAGATAGTCACCAAAGCAAGACTGTTCCTTAAAACAATATGCTTTCTGACCGGTAGCAGAAAGGTAGGTAGGTAAGCAAGGGATCATAGAATACAGAAGAAAAAGCTGTCCCAGGAGTAAAGATGGCCACTATCAGTGATGAGGGAAAAGGTAGAGGGAAGTAGCCAGAGGCGAAATCATTTCTCTGCCATGGGTTTTGAAGGCCTTGGGAAATAGAGCCCATTTCTACAAAATACATGGGCTACAGCAAATTGTCTTCACTTAGGGAGAAGCATGGTAGTTGGGTATGGTTTCTGTGTACCTCATAAAAGCACACTGTGGTCTTCTCTACCAAAGAATTCGTGAGAGTAGCATTATGATTCAATACTCTATGTATTAATTAGAATATGACATCATTTCAAAGCAAAAGAAAAACCATGTAAAATTAGTTTCCTAAATCACAAGCCAGCCCCACAACCAGACCAGTCCTGTGACATTCAGTGTGGTCCTAGATTCAAGTTCTAGAAGCCAGAACTTTAAGGGGCTTTGAACATCAACCTTTGATGGGAAAAATAAAATTAGATGAGCTCGCTTAAGGCACCAGAGCCAAGACTAGACCCCACAGCTGCTCGACTGAAGTCCATTCTTGTTTGCAGCCTTCCCCACCTCCTTTGCGAACTTCCTAGTGCTCCTCCCCCGGCCCCATCCCCCGGACCATGCTGTCTGCCTGCCGAGTCACCCACCACGTGTTCTTTCTGCAGGTGCAAAGTTCCCCATTAAGTGGACAGCCCCAGAAGCAGCCCTGTATGGGAGGTTCACAATCAAGTCTGACGTGTGGTCTTTTGGAATCTTACTCACAGAGCTGGTCACCAAAGGAAGAGTGCCGTACCCAGGTAAGAGCGGGACCTAGCCGAGGCGGGCCTCGGATTGGAGGCTCTCTTCCCACTTTGCCTTCCAAGCCCCACCCTCAACTTTCTGCCCAATGTGAGTTTGAGGAACTTGGACAGGGATTTAGCCAGGGAAAAGCAGAACTGGGAGCCCCCGTGGGCATCATGGAGACAAGCAGCTGCCGCACCTGGTGTGCCGGGATTCATGCAAACAGCAGCTAGCACGAGCGCTGCAGCCCACCCCAGTTCGAGGAGCCTGTGCTCTCTGGATAGGGGCGCGCAGCTGTGGCTCCAGGAGGAACAAGGGTTCTGGCACGGCTTTACGCAAAGAGAATTTGCAGACCCTTGCAGGGAAGAGAAGGAGAAGAGCCCCCACTGCTTTTTGATTACACTGTAGCACTGACCCATGGAATGAACCTGGCAGGAAAATGCCAGGACCTGCCCTCTCTGCAGGCCCCAGCCCCAGATGGCCAGACAGAGCAGAGGCACTTGCGAAACGCGGTTTCAAGGCCACGCACTGCCCATCTAAGCAGTCGAAATATGCCCTGTGAAAGCAAGTGTACAGTAAAGAAATCGGAGAGTCTTAGGCTCTGGAAATTTTCTGGACTGTCAGATTCATGCTTCTCAAAGAAACCACAGATTTAGATGATCCCCCTTAAATTCATTAATTTCAACAGATGCTGATGCAAAGGACTCTCGTGCCATTTCACCTCCACGCTTTAGTGGTTATATTATAGCACGTGGGCGATCTGCTTTCTGAAATGTTAAGGACATATTTTTCAGTTACTGTTGAGTGAAGAAAGAACATAGCTCCTCCTCATTCCCTGCCTAAGAAAGGAGCTTAAAAAAAAAAAAAAAAAAGATAGTGGAGATTAATGAGGAACTGATGTCTCTTGCAAATCCTGGGTTTGTAATTCTATCTTTGCAGTCAGAGGAGACAGGGAGGGCAGATTAATGTGTAATCCCTTTGTTCGTTTTTTATGATTATTTCTGGTCATCTTTGGAGAATGCAGAGAGGGAGAGAGGATCTTTTTTCAGGTTGGCGTGGCCTTGAGACTCCTAGGAGAGCCAGCTTGGCACCGAGACAAAATGAACAAAATTCCCCATCCCTGAAGCGCCAGCACGGGGTGCTTGGCGACGCGGGTGGAAGCCAGTTTTATTGATGGGCTGGCGGTTGCTGGTCCCCGCATGCACGGGTGGGCAGACGCGCTGCGAGCAGCCAGCCAGCATGGCAGGAAGGGCTGCCCCCGAGGGGCCTGGAGAGCAGCGTGGGCATTTTTAAGTGGCTTCTTCGGGGGGAAATAAATGCAGGTCTGGGGGTTTTGAAGACATGAAGACACTTTTTTTTTTTTTTTTTTTTTTTTTGGCCTTAATTTTCAACAAATTTCTCCCTGGACCCTCCAGGTTTACAGTCAGCTGGTGTGTGGAATGCCACGGAGGGGAAAAGGTTAATGTTGTTTTGCGTTTCTGCAAAGGCTTTCCTTTCAGTGACACAAAGCCACTTTTTGTTCGACAGGGTTGCACAAAGAAACCAAGACAAAGGGGCAGGGGCTGGGACCCCAGAGAAGGCAGGCAGGTGTGTGCTTCTGAGGGAGAGGCTTTGCCAAAGTTTGGATTTAGCATAAGGAAAATGGCCTCATTTTGTAACTCGGACTAAGATTCACTTAGCTCAGTGTCTGTGAGCGTGAACTGTGCCGGGCATTTTGCTCTACCTGGAAAGTAAGTACAAATCAGACATTCACACTCTGAGGAAACAGATTAAAAGCTTCCTGGAGCTAGGCACTGTTTTGGTTGCTGGGGATATAGAACAATGAGCAAATAAATTTAGTTCCTGCACTCATGGGATTTACAGTCACATAGATAAAATATGCACCACGTCCAGGAAGAAATCAGTGTTTTCTGATACTTATTTATTATCAGAGGGAATCATCCTCATGGGATGAATTACTTGAATTTACCCCCTGTGGGCCTCGAATCTTAATTCTGATAATGGGGTCAGAGACATGTGATTTGGGTGTCTGCAGAGGGACCTTTCCCTCAGAGTCCTGTGAGGGGCAAAGGAGTTTGCAGTGAGAACTGAGTCCACTGGATTGCGTGGAGTTACATACTCAGAGCAGCTGCTGACGGGCGGGGCGGGGCTGGGAGAGCCGCCCTGCTTCTCTGAGGTAGCAGGGCCGGTTGTGTCTGGGAGGCTTCATGGAAAGGGCAAGCAGAGTTTCTTCCGCAAGTCAAGGAAGAGGGAAGAAGGTCCTGGATACAGATTGGCATATGGGAAGGCACCAAGGCCTAGGAGGGCAGAGCTCATTCAAGGAGCTGCAGGAGAAGGAATTTGAGGGTGGGGGCGTGAAGCCTGGATGTGCAGCAGGAAAGGCTGGCCAGAACCTGTCGTCGTCATCATGGGGGCCTCATACGCTGCCACAGGGAGGCTCTGGGGCCAGGAGGGTCCGCAGTAGAGGGCAGGGGGTTGGGGGTGGACTGTGTCAGTGGGCGAGCGACATGAGCTGCGTCTTAGCCACAAACAGCCAGCAGCCACAGAAAATTGTTCCCAGGCCTGTTCCTAGCCATGGGGGCTTCTTGTTTTTGTTTTTTAACATAGTTATAATCCTATTTAATTGGACTTCTGGATTTTAGAGGAAACTCTTCTTGAGGGAGAGGCTTTTACAGAAGAATTCCAATTACAGGACTATTACCTTAATGAAGGGTAACAATTCCTAAGGCACAGTGTCATTAAGCTTCATCCAGACGTCACTGTGAAAGGAAGGACCTTCCCCTCCACATTCTCACTGCTGGTGTGGCCCAGTCAGTGTGTGCCCAGGGATTGCTTCTCTACCACGCCAAATCCCTGTGCCTGTTGGGGGTACCCTGGGACGGACTCCCAGTCCCCGCCCATCATGCCTTCCATCCTGACATCTCCATGCAAAAATTTCTCAGTTGGCTAGAGTCTATTTTTAAGTAATTCGTTTTTCAAGAACAGTAGGTGGCGGTATTTTTCTGAATTCTTTCATACCTGAGCATGACCTTCTGTTACCTTCACACAGAGGAAAGGGCCTTTGGCTGGTAGATGAGGATGGAGGTCAAGGAAAGGGAGGTGAGTTACCCATGGGTTCGTAAAGCTTTCCCGGCATTTCTGCCCAGCATGACAGGAGTTCCAGAAGGAAGAATCAGAGAAGGAGCCTAGAGTGGAGCATGTGATTTGTGACCACATGAGAGGAGACAATGAAACATGGACCGGCTGGTTAGTTAGCGAGTTCTGTAAAAGGAATGGATTAAAAGGAAGGGAAGAAGGACAATCTCAAATGGAATGACAGCCCTAGAGCCAAAGAAAAAAATACTGAAATGTGACACTGAGATTAACAGAGAGGTAGAAGAGGAGTTGCACGCACTCCACCCGCCCAGACAAAGGTTGCTTCCGAGACGTGTCACAGAGATGCACACAGTTCCAGAGGACAGCTCTGCTCTACGGACTCCCCGGGAGCAGCCGCACTCAAACACATACCAGGCCTTGCTTTTCCGTGAGCTGAGGTGCAGAACCATCCTTTGCGTTGAGATTAGACTGGATTTTGTACTGATGGGCTGATGAACGTGAGAAATGACAACACTTCCATGAAAGGAGTTTTCTGGGGTTCATGCATACAATCAGAGTTAGGCACCTTCAAACTCTCCCTCACATCTTTCTTTTCCTCTTTACCTCCACTGCCCTGTGTCAGGCCATCCGCTCTGCAGTGACCTCTTCTTGGGACTTCCTGCCTCGGTTTCTCCTGCCCCCTTACCCATTCTTTCCCTGTCACCACCAGGGATGTTATCCCAGAAAACAGAGACCCAGCTATCTTGCTCTCCTGGTTAAAACCGTCTGTGGCTTCCCTTCTCCTTCCAGATAAACTCCAGAAGCCTTAAGTTTGCATGGCCCTTAATAACTCTTTCCCTGAGGGGGGTGGGGGAAGGGGACGTTGTGAGTCATTCCACAAATATTTATTGAGCACCTGCCATATGCGCTGAACCAGCAGACAGAAACTTGCGCCCTCATAAGTGTTTACTCTTCTTGTAAGAGACAGACAATAAACAAAGATAATAAGCAAACTCTATTCTGTATTGGCTGGGGGTAACCGGCAGGGAGAAGAGTAAAACTGGGAAGGGGATGGAAAGTGGCAAGGGAGGACCTCACTGGGAGGGTGACCTCGAGGAAGGCGGGCCCTGAAAACAGCAGGGAGGCCAGTGTGGGTGGAACAGAGGGAACAGGAGTTCTGAGAGGCCCTGGGGAGATCAGATAGGGCCTTCCTAGGTCATTGTGAGGACTTTAGTTTGCGTTGTTAGTGAGAGAGTCACTGAGGGGCTTGAGTGGGAGAGCGACATGACCTGACATGGTTTCTCTCTTGCCACCCCCAGACCTCACACTGAGCTGTCCCTCTGGTGTGAGTTGCTCTTCTCGGCCTCACTGTCTGCCTCAGAATCCTGCAAAGCCCAACCCAGACATCACCTCCTCAATGTAGCTTTCTTCATGTCCATACCAAACGACTTGCCGTGTCTGCCTGCTCCCACCACACACGGTGCATCTCTATTAAAGCCCCCGTCCCTGAGTCTGGAATTCACAGCAGCTCTGAGGGGACAGGAGCTCCTTTCGATATTCCCAGTGCCCAGCAGTGTCTGCCCCATAGTAGACTTTCAAGACGTGTAAGCACATGAATGGATGGATGGAAGGTCAGGATAGGGAGAAAAAAAAAAAAAAAAGATGATGCCTATGAGGTTTTAAAACAAGATTTTTTTAGTTTGACTGATAACCTGCAAAGCCTTTTAACTCTATTCCATAATCTCCACACATAAATATAGCCCGCATCGTCCCAGCCATGAGATAGCCTCTGTCCTCAGAGTTGTTCTGGGAAATTGACACTGTGGTTGGTTGAAACACCACGTTCCAGTACCGTTCTAGGCAGACTGTCCTGGCCATTCCGTGCCCTGGCTCGCAGCTGAAAACCTGCTTTGTGAATGTGGAGGATCTGGCAAGCAGGAGC